CCCTAATTTTCCTGAATTTCTCCTAATAACACCTGAAAAAATCCTCCATATCATTTAGATCATATAGAGGTGGGGAAACAACCCACAGAATGGGAAAAAATATTTGCAAATTATGTATCTGGCAAAGGCCTAACATCCAGGATCTACAAGGAACTTAAACAAACTGAAAAGGAAAAAACAAACAACCCTATTAAAAAGTAGGCAAAGGACATGAATAGACACATTTCAAAAGATGACACACAAGCAGCCAACAGATACATGAAAAAATGCTCAGCCTCATTAATCATTAGAGAAGTGCAAATAAAAACTACAATGAGATACCAACTAACTCAGTATGGATGGCCACATCAATAAATCAAAAAACAACATGCTGTCACAGGTGCAGAGAAAAGGGAATGTTTCTACACGGTTGATGGGTGTGCAAGCTAATTCAACCTCCTAGAAAGCAGTGTGGAAATTCCCAAAAGAACTAAAAATTGACTTTCCATATGATCCAGCAATCCCTCTCTGGGTAATATACCAGAAGGGAAATAAATCGTTCTATAAGAAAAGACAACTGCACTCACATGTTTATAGTCACACTATTCGCAATAGCAAAAATATGGAACCAACCCCACTACTCATCAAAAGTGGACTGCATAAAGAAAATGTGGTACATATACATGATGGAGTATTACACAGCCATAAAGAAGAACAAAATCATGGACTTCACAGCAACTGGATGGAGTCGGAGACCATCGTACTAAGTGATCTATTACAGAAACAAAGTACTGAATACTTATATGTTCTCACTCATAAGTGGAACCTGCACATTAATCACATTAGCACAAGAAAAGGATTGACAATCACTGGGCATTGTCAAGGGAGGTAGGGAGAAATGGGGTGGGGTGGGGCATGTAATAACACAAAGTGTGTCTGGTCCGTTACCAGGGGAAGTGAGGGCCAGTTGGAGACTTAAAACATCACCTGCCTGCAGCTTACTTATATAGTTAACCCTTACTTGTACCCCACACCTCTATAATAAAATTAAAAAAATTTTAAAACATAAAATTGTAACTGCCTCTTAGTCATTGTTGTTTCCACACTGGTTACCTATCTCCAAGAAAGCAAGGACTGTGTCTGTCCTACTAGAGCTGGATTTCCAGAGTCTAATACAATATTAGACACATAGTGGGTGTTCAGTAAGTACCTGTCAAATAAATGTTAAGTAAAGCAGAGTAGGGAATCTGACAGTCTGAGTTCTGTGGAAAGGCTATCCTTTTCTTCTAAAGGAATGAAGTAGAGCAAATCTCATGAGACTTTTCTCTTTTTTGTCTCTTGGTACACCTTGTGGTGACATCAGATGAGGATAGTCACGGTTCCTGCTTGTCTCATCCCTGGAGGCACCAACCAAGAAGAACATTTTCTTGGCCTTCCAGCTGAAGGAAGAACAGGTCATTGCTTAAGGGAGTATGTTCTTGAAAAAATATAGTGCATATAGTGTCAGATAACAGATTTAAATCAAACTGGGGACAACTACTATAAAAACAGCAAAGTCATGGTTGTCCATTTTTTAGTAGCTGTGACATTCTCACTCTCATTTTTTTTCTCTTTATAAACACTTTGTTTGTTGACTCTTTTCTGTCATCTCTCTTTGCCTGACCTCTAAACTTAGATGTTGCTTAGAGAGACATCCACTCACGCCATAGGCTCTCCTCAGGCAATGTGCTCCATTTCATCATTTTGATAAATCCATATATGCATATGAAAGACAAGTCTATATCTTCAGCATTGCACTTTGGCCCCAATATTTGCTGGACATTTCAGACCAAATGTCTTACAGGTAGCTCCATCTCAAAATATCTACACTGAAGTTATCGTTTCCAGCATCAAATCTCTCATTTTTCCTTGTATCATCCCATCACCACTCCCACTCTCAAGCCAGAAACCCAGAAAGCACTCTTTACAACTACCTTACCCTCCCCTTCCATGTGTAATAATTCCACAAGAGCCACTCTTTAAGTAGATCATGGCTCTATCTGCTCCCCTGCTTCTGGAATAGCCCAATTACAGTTTGACCTTTACTATCTTTTGCTTTCACAAACCTAAATACACTTTTATCATTTTGATTTTCATTCTTGCAACAGCCTCCTAACTGATCTCCCCAGTTCCAGGTTTGCCCACCTGCTGTTTTTCTACTGCTATTTTCTCACAGCTGCCAGGGTGATCTACCCTAACTATCTAATCTGATAAAAACTCCCTTGCTCCCTTGCTCTCCCTTGCTGAAAATCTTCGATAACTCTTCTCACTCATGACTCTTCATCCTTTGTTATTCATTAGAGTCAAGTGAAAAAAATTTTTTTAAATACAGATGATTGGCTATCCACTCAGTCCAACTGAATCTTAATCCTAGAGAGTAGGGCCTGAGTATCTGGGACACTGATGAACAGCCAGAGTTGAAGAACATGGGTGACATTTGTGACTTTTCCTATCCCCATCTCTGTCCACTTTTCTACCTATCAACTGCCACATAATATCATATTCTTTCTGCTCTAGTAAAACATACCATGCATTTATTGCACTTATTCCCATGCACGTTGCCCACTCAAACTTCCATACTGGTTTTCTTCTGAGTTCCTATCTACCTTCATCGCTCAATCAACTCCATCTCATTTTCAGAGAACCAGTTGAAAATCTGGTTATTATTATTATTATCTCTTCCAGAAAGCCTTCTTTGACTTCTTACCCACCTCACAAATCACCTCTTACCAAGTTTGGATCCAGATGTGCTCACAACTGCTTTTATTATGCTCCCATAGTACCCTGGCCTATAAATGTCTTTATCATTGCACATTACCACATGTTACTTAAATTATATGCTTGTGTGTATGTTTCCCCCCACTAGACTGTGATGCCCTGTGATAGCATCTATGTCCAGAAGGTCAAAGGCTACCACAGTCCCAGCCAGAGGACACCCAGAGGCCATGACATGACATGGGCCCAAAGCCATTTGTTCACAGAAATTATGTTGGGGTGTATAATCTGAGGTTTCTTTTTTAGAAACCCTCTTTGTACAGGTTTTTCAAGCCCTACCATTGACTAGAGCTATATCACAAAATTCAAGAGAGGTGAAATGAGTAATGGGAGCCAAAATGAGTGCCAAGAGATGCAGGTTTCATGTGTGACATTTGAAATGGGAGACTGGAAAGCAACATGGAGAAATTTTTTATCTTTAGCTGCTGACTGACCTTGACCTCTGGATGTAGTTAAAGCTATTGACAAAAGATAGAAGGCATAGATTGTAGGGTGTGTGTGTGTGTGTGTGTGTGTGTGTGTGTGTGTGTGTGTTTCTACCTAGTTGGCATTGATGAAGATTCTCTCCCCAACCACACTCTAGCCAGATTCCTCTCAGACTCTTCTTAACTAAGCCTCAGCCTTGACCAAGAGAAACTGCAAACTCTCAGCACAGATTATTTCATACACCCCTGCCCCTCACATTAAAAGACTTGAATAAATACTAAAGTAGGTTCTAACAGCTCAAGACCATATCCTTAATAGGATGAGGACTCCAGCACCATTAAGCTTTTGCCTGAGAAAGCACAAAGCTGGCAAAACAATATACTGTTTCTTCCATCCAACACCTGAGATAGGGCCTCGGCCTTGCAGTCTCTGAGAGAGAGTAGGACTCTATCCTTGATAAGTGCCAGTTAGCAAACCCAGAGAAGTTCACATGGATCAACTCCACTTTCCCACTTTTTGTGAACTTTCCACTTCCCTGATTCTTTCTGCTCAAGTCCCTGTTGTTCCCCCTCCTCACTCTCTTATCCTTCCTCTATAATGCCCAGTCATCTCTGCACAAATTGAAGTTGAGTTCAGCTCCCACTGCACCTACTTCCCTGTTGTAATATTTTATTACTGATTAAAATCTGTCTTTACCACTTCAAATAGTGACTGACTTTGTTTATCTTTGGCAATATCTTCAGCAATAAACATTCTGACTTCTGGAAGATCTGATTCTTGAGATTGATGCTGCATTTAGTAGAATGACTATCTCCAGGAAAAGTTCAGTGGGCAAGAGAAGAACAAAACCAGGCAATCATTGGAGGAAAGTACAGTTCAGACATAGGCATCAGGGGTGGTATGTTTTAAAGAAAGAATATTTCTGATAGAAAAAAAATTGGATCTTCAGTTGAACATTTTTGAAGAAATATTCTTCATAGCAAGGATTTTTAAATAGAAAAGTGTTCTGGTTCCATAAATGTAACGTTCTTGCCTTCTCTCCTTTTTGCTAAGAAAAAGAATTATTATTTTTGAAATGTTTTCTTATTTTTCTACCTATAAAAAATCGATAAAAATTAGTCTCATAAGTTTCTAAACACAAAAAAGTCCATGTCAGAAAATTTATTATATTATTTAATTTAGGAAATTGATTTAATTTATACAATCAGAATTTATTCTTTAGCCATGCTCTGGCCTTTAATATGTGTTTTCTTGACAGTTATACAGTTTTATAATTTAGTCTTATGTCTTAAGGGTCCAGAAAGAAAACTTAGATTAAGACAAATAAGATAAAAAAGACAGTAGAGATACTCAATATATTTCCTTAGATCCATTCACTTAGCATCAATGAATAACACATTCCAAAAGCGAGCATATATCAAATTTAAAATGGATACCATTAATTGGGAACAATAATTGGATAAATGGTCAAACAATTTTCATTGCATATGTTTTGGGGGCATGCACTTCCTAATGAGTTGTTTTATTGAATTAGCATACCAATTATTTGTTTTGATAGGTATAGGGAAAATATTTATGGGAAGGAGCGGTGGCATACACTTCCTGCTGCTGCACAAAACTCATATGGCAAATGATAATCCCAGAGAGCTAACTCTTACAGAGACCTAAATGGTACATGTGGATAAGTATAATGTTCATTAATCTAAAAAATGAGAAAATATTATAAAAATAGAAGTAGAAAAACCTAGACAAGTTAAAATACAGAAAAATCTTAAGCAAAGTTATTTGAATCAGGCAATATTTAATATATCAAATATTAATCTTCATAACTAGGTATAAAGTAATCTAACCTCAGGACTCTAACCATGTCAAAAGGCAGCAGGTAATCCTGACCACCCCACAATCCTTTGCCAAGATTAGTGTTCTCCAATTAAACCTTTCGGTACTCCCTGGTTATAATAGTACTTGTCTATTATTGATATTATAAAAATAACCATTCTCCAAATGATTACACATAGTAAATAAAATTAGAACTATACATAAGGATTTGAATAATTCCAATTTCTTTAAGGACCACTTGCAACTTCTTCTGCTTGCTTCACAAACCTGCAGGGGAGAAACAGAACAAAAGAAAATCTACTTAATAAAATATCTATGCTGCAGCATATTAAAAATAAAAATTGGGATTTTAATCCTTTCCTTTACTCTGATAAACTTTTACAAAGGCATTCATATTAGGATACTACCTCCATTATCCATATTTTGCTACCAGCATATCAATTTCTGGTATCTTTATAAAATCCCAATCATAATATGAAGGTAAGGGAAAATATGCAGCTTCTAGAATAGTTTATGTGATGTTTCTGTTTTTTTAACAGTTATATTTACTATCTCTGATTCACCAGTTAGACCATAAACATTTTGAAAGAAGACTACCAATCTCCAAATTACTCACTGGAGCTGAAAGTCTACTTTGTGCATGACATTTATTGCTTAAAAAACATTTATGTGATGGAAGGGAGGAAGAAAAGGAAGAGAGGAAGAGACAGACGGGAAAAGGGAACCCACTAATTTTTTCATATACTTTTTCCTTTTCTGGATTGCTTTACCTACCCCGACTGACTCCAGCTAACTCTTACCTAACTCCTATAATATGTAAGGTCTTAGACTTACATATCACTTTCTTCCGACCTTTTCATTTTAGTCAGGTAGAATTCTCCTGCTGTATGTACTTATCTCACCCTAATGCCTCTATAATAATCATCATTAGCACTTTATGTAATTAGCTGTTCATTGTGTATCCTCTTGACAATTTAGTAAGTTTTGTGATGAGAAGAACTAAATCGGGTGCCATGTCACCCATGATAACGGCGTGCTGTTCTCTGGCAGTAGCTCCTGATTCATTGTAGGCTTTTACAAAGTATGAATTATGTGAATGATTTGCTTAGTTAAAGCTCTTGAACTGAACAGCAGTATGCCTGCATGTCACACAAAGAGTATTTGAAGGTCTAAAGAAGAGAGTCACGTGATAGTTGTGTAGCTATAATGGTACAGTAAATATGTGGAAGAGAGATACATTTATTGTCTGTGACCCAAAAAGACAGAACCAGAAAGAAGGTAACTATGATTCAGATTTTGGAGGAAAATAAGAGAGTAGCTTTTTATTTTTTAATATTTTAAACATTTTGTACAACTTAAGCAATACATATTTATTATAGGAATATTATAAAGAAGCAAAAAGCTATTATCACACCACACAGAGGCAACCACTGATGGCAATTTTGTTTACAAACATTCAGACCACATTCTTTAGGTGTAAATTTACTATTGTATGTGTGTCTGTGTATTATATATAAAAATGATATATATTTAATATTCTGTCTTACAGTTTGCTATTTTATATAAAATATTAGACATATTAGAAAAAAGGTACATGATAGAAAATATATATATGAATTTGGTATCAGAACATATATGCATATATCTAATTAACATATATTTTCCTCCTTCATAATAAATTCACAGTTTTTCATAATACAGATTGTTATAATGTCTTTAATCAATCTCTTTTGTTGATCATTAGTTTTTTCCATTTTTTACATGCTTCCCATGTTTTCTTATAAAACATTTCCTATGTTTTCTTGTAAAACATTTTCATGGTTTATTATAAAGATGTGGCAATGACCATATTGTTCTGATAGATACATAGTGGTGCATTGCAGAAATTATGTCTTGAGGTGATGTCCTAATATAGAATTATGGGATTAATGAAATATTAGAGCAGAACAGAATTAAATAAGCATCCAAAGGATATGGTAAACTCCCCATTACTCAAGGTGCTCATGTTGTCTGGGTCACCATTTGGTATGGGTATAAAGAAAAAACCAGCATTAGTAGTAGAAGGTTTTAAAGTACTTTCCAATTTTGATATTCTGCAACTCTGTGAGTGCTAAGAACAAATTAAACACCTTTGCTTCTCTCTGGGACATACTTGAGAGAAGATACAGTGAATTTTTAAAAAATCTTTGTACATATAGTTCTAAGAGTAGCCTCATATTCAAGGATGTAAAATTGTTCTGAGATGCTGTAACTTCAGGAGACATGTGATAGCATCATAGAGTCCACAGTCTGCACAGTGAGAGAATAAGTTTTCAGCTCATATCTATCTAGAAGATATAATTTCTTTTTCTGTCAAGGAGAAGAGGTTTAAAATCCTCATTCTACCAGCTCAGCATGGGAAAATGCAGACTAAGTACTTCGAGATCTAAAGGACACCACAAAAAAAAAAAAAAAAAAGAAAGAGAGAGAGAGAGAAAGAAAAAGAAAGAAATTTTAAAAAAGAAAAAAGAAAGAAAAGAAACAAAACATTATGCAGGGTACTTGGAGGAAAATCTTTTCTCATTAGAAGTCATGAGAACTATGTATTTTTTAAAAAATCTGAACTCTGGGATGTTGTAGATAGTACTCATCATTACGTGGCATTGGTATTAAGCACCCTGAACAAACATACCAGAGTAGACCAGTGTAGGACAAGAAGAGCATGGAACACAAAGAAGAAGGTCAGCAGAACCTGCACGATGAAAGAAAAAGAGAGAATATGCTGGACCAGGAGAAACATATCTATTAAACACTATTCTCTAGTGGGTTAACCAATTTCTAGAGAAGACTAATTGAAATTAATATCAAAACTACATTTATTGTATGTAGTAAGCTGCAATTGCCTATAAGTTAACTGTTTAGCAGTATGTATATTGTCATTCCCTAATTCAGTCATTTTCTATTTAGACTTGTGTTAATTTTACAGTAAAATCTAGGGCAAAATGTCCCTCCCAATAGGGTTCTATATATATATAAATATATATATATATTTAGAAGGGCTAAATGCACACCAGCATTTCAAAATGCACAAGGCAGTTTGAATCTTACAAAAAGAGAAAACTACTTGATATTTATCAATGTTATTTGATAATAGATTTTTGCACAGCAATCATTTTTAAATTCTATATAATATATATTCAGAATATACATATATAGAACATACATATATATCTTATACACACACACACACACACACACACACACACACACACACACACACACACACACTTTGGGAATTCCTCCTCTGAATTGTAGTTATAATCCTGATGCTCAGCATAGATTAGGTAAGAACACCATGCTCTGCTCTACAGAATGCTATCCCAACACAGTTTATTCAGCCCTGGATGTATCCCAACACATTACGTGTTATGATGCTACAAACTCTGCAAATTAGTACATCATCATGAAGTTGTGAGATTTACATGAGGTAGCGTTTATGCATGCATATACACTATGTCATGTCTGGCTCATAACATTGCATGCTAAACGTGATTTATCTGAATGCAGCCCTGAAGCAGTAGAGTAGAATGTGACACTATCTCTGAGGGAAAGAAAAAGCAGTGTTTAGTGGGACGATGAGACATGACTATTCTATTTCAAAAGAGTGGCAAAATAAAATAGAGTGTAAAAGTAGATGAAACAAGGAAAGCAAGGGAAGTAATTCCCCGTGTCTTGAAGAGAAAGGAAATAAAGTCCAAATTTTCCACAGCATCTCTTGAAACACTAGCCCTAGAAGGTGTTATCTAGGTGGTTCACAAATAAATGATTCATTGATCAAAGAATTTTGGACATCATACTATATCTGCTTTTTGGAGGTGCTAAAGGCACTCCAGCATTTCAAAATGCACAAGGCTGTTTGAATCTTACAGAAAGAGAAAACTACTTGATATTTATCAAAGTTATTTGATAATAGATTTTTGGATAGCAATCATTTTTTTAAAAAATTCTGCAACTCATTGGTAAATATTGCCTCAACAAGAATGAAAAGGCATTTAGCCGTTGCTTCATATAACTCAACTACAAAATAAAAAAACCATACATTTTGCATTCAGGTAGACCTGAATTCAAATCTTGGCTCTATCCTTATATGACCTTGAGCAAGTTAGCATTTCTCAGAAGATTTCACAGAGGATAATTATAAAATGATAAAAGTATCGCTAATTAGTGGGCAGTTTTACGATATTAAAATGTAAATGAATAGAACTACAAAAAATTTGGACTGAAGTTTGAGATTGTTTATGAAAGGCAGATGCTAGAGACAGATGGAGAACTTGGTAAATTTTTAGAAATATTATATATGAACGGGTTTGGAATACTATAATAATGTATTTATGCTTGAGCGTTCTTTCCCACTCAAAAATATTAAAGATGTTGGCAAGAAAGCAGTTGACTTAATGCTCTATATTAATGGTTCCTAAATTTTAGAGTGTATTAGAATTATCTGGAGGGCTTTTTAAAGCAGGTTACTGGGCTCCAACATCAGTTTCAAACTCGGTAGATCCGGGATGAGGCTCAAAGAAATTGTTTTTCTTGCTAATTCACAGGAGATACTTATGATATCCTGGTTTGAGAACTAGTATCACTGTTCTATGTAGTACGGCCTTTAGACTGAAGGAGAAAGCCAGCTGTGGTCTGACATACTTGAAAATAAAGGAGTACTCAAGTGCCTGGTTACCGAAATAAGACTGAAGATAGGCTTAATAGAAAAAAGAGAATTGTATGAAAACTAGATTGAACCAGATAGTAGATTATAGTAATCTAAAATTTTATAGTTAGATGCGATATCACTTTTGACAAGAAAATAATACAAAGCCTTAGAGGATCACTAGATTTAAGAAGACCAACAAATTATAATGGTAAGACATTGGATAAGTCACATAAGTGTGATTTAAAGTTTCCTGATGACAAGAGCTGTGGCAGAAAGAAAAACAGTGAACTAGATGTAAGCTCCCCATATGAATGAGGAGAAGTGATTGTTAAGATTATAGTGACCAGAAAAGGACCAGATCAACGCAACAGATAGCATGAGCCTAAAAAAGAAAAATAATTCCAGGTAGAATGTTGATGCTCCCTCATCATGCTTGACACATGAAAAAAGGATCATCTTCCCCTAGAGGAGGCCAGCAGGGACCCTGTGTCTTCTAAGAAGAATCCACTTCAAATGAGAAAACAAAAAGGCATATAAAGTATTCTTTGAATAGCATTAAAGAACAATCAGCTTGCAAATCAAGTTCTAGTCCCATAGGGCACAGTTCAAAGATATGGGAAAAATATCAACAGTGGTTAAAAATACAAATACAGGTGAAGATTTTATTTTGATATTGAGAGTGGGGCAAGCAAAGTGACCAAGGATAACAGGGATCAAAGACAGAATTAGCTGATCTCAAGTTTCTGAAATGAACTTTAGTATAACCTTTTTCTTGCATGGAAACTACTTAGGTGTCCTGCCTGTTACTGCTTCCTTGTGTTTTGAAATAAGACTCCCTATACTGGGGACGGTCCATTATTTCCCACATGTTTGGGAATACAAGAAACGAAGCAGCTTTGGTGGGGAAAACAAGAGAGTAGCTTTCAAGTCTGAAAATAAATATTATATATGTAAACTTGTACCCTATGACACGATCCTCAAAAAGAAATAAAGAATGTTCTAATCTGCATATAGACCCTTCATTTCTTCTTGAGAGCAGTGCTATAGATTGCAGGTTTATTCAGTGAAAAATGGAATCACCTAAGGCAATGCATGACAAAGGCATGTACAGGGAGTAAAGTAATTTCTGTGTCGATGCACCATGTTCATAGAAATTCTACTTGAACTATGATTACTATAGAGGAACAACACATTGAACACATGATATGTCATTGAGCATTTCCTGATTTGTATCATATATCAATAAGCCACTTATGACATACATTTGTCTATGGTTCTGGATGTTATAGCCTCCCTGAATAACAAGAAGAAAATAGAGAAAGGCTTGAGCACTTCTTGAGTAATCTTTAAAATCCCTTAATCAGTTTGAACTAAATTTGTTCATTCATTAGATTAATTTATTAAATACTTATTAAATCAATAGTGAATGCATAAATATCCACTAAGTGTTGAGCATTTACAAAGTAAAATAGGGATTTCAAGACTAAATTTTTCCTAATAGGTTAATTTCTATAATTAAGTAGGTGGAAATAATTTATAAACTATGAAGCCTTAAATAAGTGGTAGAAACTTTTAGAAAATTATTTTAAAGATTAAAAAAGGATAATTCTTTGTGTCTGAATATGAAAGAGAAAGTTACATATAACTTATGTCTGAGAACAAAAAAAGCTATGTTTTTAGTCTGAAGAATGTTTAATTACATTAAAGATGATGTACGGCTTTAAGATATTTAGTCAACATTTCAAAACAAATCATTTTGGGAAATTTGGCAGCATGTTTTGAACAGTTGTTCTACTTTTAATAGCTTACTATGGGATTGAAAACATGCTTAATATAATTACTAAATGTTATTTATTTTATTCTGTCAAAATTTTAATTTTTATGTTTGTCATATATGCCTCCCTTAATTTTCTGGATGAGTTTGCTTGTAGATAATAATTTGGAACACAGTGTAAATATAACTAAATCAAGTTGAAATTTCTATTTAAAACAGATTTTCTATTCAAATATATTACTGCTTCAGTTTCCTTATGTGCTCCTTTTCCTAATTTTCTAATTTTTAACTGTTTTCTTTATGTTACAACCTCTCAGTGCTGAGTGAAATAATTCCTCTCTTGATGTTATATATATGCACATCCTTATCACCCCGCATTTTTTCAGCTTCTAGGGATGCAGTGTAATTTCAGAGTAGAGCATAAGGTCTTTTCTTGGGTTAGAATGTAAATTGCACTTATTAATTGTGTATTCTTGGGGAAAATATTTAACTCATCTTAGTTTGTGCAATCAGAGTAATAATACCTATACAATAAGTTGTCACCAGGATTAAAGGAAATACTACACGGCATATAACAAAAAGATTTAATAAATGTTAGTCTTCCTTCTTTCCTTCCTCCTTCAGTGATTCATGTTTCTTAAAATGGCTCATAATAGGCTTTAGGGAGAAACAGAATGCTATCATTCTAAACATATCCCCCAAATAGACTTCGTGGTCTTTCATATTGGGCCATGTGATAATTTTCCCAATTTATTATTCAGCTAGATCTCTGTTAAAATATATGCTAACTCTCTCAGTGATAAAGATTTAATGTGCCACACTTTGGGAGTTCTGTGCTTAGAACTCTTTTTTTCTTATCTCTTCAATATCTTCTTTATTATGTTAACACAAGTAGTGTCTTTAGCCACAGTGTCTATTTCAGGTTAGGATTTCTTGTCAGATCCTCTACCTCCTATGAAATGATGCCAGTCAACTTTTATGTTAGCTCAAACAATGGAAATGTAGTACAGTACCTACTGGAGGAAACAGTTCATTCATTGATTTTTTTTTTTTTTTCCTCACTTAAGTCTGAAGAGGAAAAAAAGGACAAGGAAGTAATGAGGTGGGGTGGGATCAATGTTGATATGGTCACAGTTGCCCCAGTTTGTAGGCATGAAATGTGTACATGATGAAAATGCTAAGTTCTTGTATCCTGGAAGAATGCCTAAAAGTATTATGTTAGACAAACATTGGTTGTTTAGGATTAAAATGGCAGCTAGAGTGAGTTTCT